GCTGCGCGGCTGCGCGTTGTACGCAGCGGCAGTAAACGGGCACGTAGAGGCCCCATGTTAACTTGGAAATCCCATCGGTCACCGCTACGGGAGCACTTCAGTTTCCAGGCCAACATGGCGACTTTTCTATTGTGGACAATACAGCGCGCGCGTCTGCGCGCTGTACGCTGCGGCAGTAAACGGGTACGTAGAGGCCCCATGTTAGCTTGGAAATCCCATCGGTCGCCGCTAAGGGAGCACTTCAGTTTCCAGGCCAACATGGCGACTTTTCTATTGTGGACAATACAGCGCGCGCGCGCGCGTCTGCGCGTTGTACGCTGCGGCAGTAAACGGGTACGTAAAGGCCCCATGTTAACTTGGAACTCCCGTCGGTCACCGCTGAGGGGGCACTTCAGTTTCCAGGCCAACATGGCACCTTTTTCTATTGTGGACAATACAGCGCGCGCGCGCGTCTGCGCGTTGTACGCTGCGGCAGTAAACGGGTACGTAGAAGCCCCATGTGAACTTGGAAATACCATCGGTCACCGCTAAGGGAGCACGTCGATTCCAGGCCAACATGGCGACTTTTCTATTGTGGACACTACAGCGTGCGGACGCGCGCGCGCGCGCGCGCGCGCGCGCGCGTCTGCGCGTTGTACGCTGCGGCAGTAAACAGGCACGTAGATGCCCCATGTTAACTTGGAAATCCCATCGGTCGCCGCTAAGGGAGCACTTCAGTTTCCAGGCAAACATGGCGACTTTTCTATTGTGGACAATACAGCGCGCGGACGCGCGCGCGCGCGCGTCTGCGCGTTGTACGCGGCGGCAGTAAACGGGTACGTAGAAGCCCCTTGTGTCCTTGGAAATCCCATCGGTCACCGCTTAGGGAGCACTTCAGTTTCCAGGCCAACATGGCGACTTTTCTATTCTGGACAATACAGCGCGCGGACGCGCGCGCGCGCGCGCGCGTCTGCGCGTTGTACGCTGCGGCAGTAAACGGGTACGTAGAGGCCCCATGCCCCATCGGTCACCGCTTAGTTCCTGGCGACTGGACAATACAGCGCATCGGTCAGGAGAGCGCGAGCTCAGTTCGTTACTGTCCACAAGAGGGAAGTTTCCAGGCCAACATGGCGACTTTTCTATTCTGGACAATACAGCGCGCGCGCGCGTCTGCGATCGTTTAATAAAATATTCAATTATGTCAGGAGAGCGCGAGCGCGCGCGCGTCGGCGGTCGGCGCTGCGTGGGGAGTTCGTTACTGTCCACAAGAGGGAAGCCGCTAAATGTGCCTGGAAACCCAAATGAACCCTCAGCGGCGACCGATTGGATTTCCAAGTCAACATGGGTCCTGTTGTACGTTTTCTCTGACGGCGCGCGGAAGGCAAGCGGTTGGCGGCAGGGACTCTTAGGGTGATTCCCAAGGGGACCCCTGCGGGGATTCCTACGGAGATCCCTACGGGGCGTCCTATGGGGATTCCAACGGGGATACCTGCGGCGACTCTAATGGGGATTCCTACGGGGGCGCCGGGCCGCTCCGCGAAGGGCGGGGCGGCCCGTCCAAAGGTCCACTCCGCCGTCTGAAGAAACCCGCGGCGAAAGGCGGGCACATCTCAAGAACCGCCGGCAACTGCCGGGCAACTGCCGGGCAACTGCCGGGCAACTGCCGGGCAACTGCCGGCGACCAACTGCCGGGCACCTGCCGGGCAACTGCCGGCCATGCTTTCGCGCCGTGCCATAAAGAAAAACCCTGCGCGCAGCCGCTATCCTCAAGTAGAAACTTAAGACTTTTCCGCCCCGACACGCGCCAGTCCCGCCCGACCACGAACTGCCGGCAACTGCCGGGCAACTGCCGGGCAACTGCCGGGCAACTGCCGGCAACTGCCGGGCAACTGCCGGCTGCTGCCGCCGGCGCGGTTTCGGACCGTGCAGGGCGCAGACTTGGAGCGGCCAGCGCCCGCGGGCGTGGAGCGGGAGCGGCTCCCTCGTGCGGGGGCGGGGGATGGGGCTTCGAGCCCGCCCTTGCTCGGTCAGCGCGTTTTTTTTGCACTCCGGCGGCCATCGCAAGGGCGAGTGCGCCCGCCCGAACCCTGCTCTGAACTTCCACGCGGCCGCGCAGCAGCCAAGCCGCAATTTCCAGACAGGCGTCGGTTGCCGCGCGCCTCGTTGGGAGACGCACGGCAGCCGCGCGTGCGCCCAATCGGGCGGGGCACTCCGCGTTGGACGCGGTGCGAAGAAACTCCGCGCGGTTCGGGCTGATGCGGGATGCGGGATGGCGGTGGCTCAGAGGGATGGCTGCCCTCGGGGTGCGGCGAAGTTAGGACGTGCGCTCCGTGACAACACGATCAGCGCAGACGTTTTTTTTCGTGGCGGCGCGGAGACACACTCCATCGCGAAGCCGAACTAGGTGCGCTAGGACGAACTGCCCTTCTTTTACTCCTTTAAAGTGAGCGCCTGCACAACACGCGGGCCAAATAGTAGAGGAATTACACAATAGCGCGCCGTGGCGGAGGTACACGCAGCCGGGGCGCATGGGAGCACGAAGGCCTCTCAGAGAAGCTTCTGAGCAGGCAGGAAGGCTATCAAAGAGGGCTCGCTTTCTCAGGGGGCAGGCCCCCCCTACGAGCACCCCCGCCCCTTCTGACGCTTGTGCGTTTCTCCGTTCGCGTCCGAATGGATCCCACGAGTGGCGGAACTTGAGCAGATGCCGACCCTGGAAGAGGAAGAGGAGAAGGAGGATGAGGACGAGGAAGAGGACGAGGAGGAAAAGGGGAGGATCGGCGCGGCATAGAACGGTCCAGTCGAGCCAGGACCGCCCCGAGCGCGGCCTCGCGCCCCACGCGAGGCCGCAGTGGCGACGAGGAGATCCCGGAGCCGCGCCCGCGCGTCGGGACCCACCCAGTCCCCCGACGCACAGGCAGCCTAGGCCCTCGGGCCTAGGCGCGGCACCCCAGGAGGGCGGGCGGGGGCCACCAGGGGCCTTCCTCAGCCAGAAGTCGAGGCGAGTCCGTCCACAGAGCGAGGAGCGGGGGCCTCCAGAGGCCCCTCCTCGCCCTGCTCGCCCCCGCGGCCAGAAGGTAGGCGACCTTCTCAGCGCGCGTCCAGGAGGAATCGAAGGAGACGAAGACGCAGCTGATGAGCAATAGGTTAGCAGTAAGACGGTTTAATAAACATCTACACATTAGGCGCGTTCCTGCGGGACGCCGACGGGCCACGAACGAGGCGAGACGAACGGACCAGGGGACCCCCGAACAGGGCCGACGGGACCGACGGGCAAGCCGACGGGCCGTGGGCCACGAGGAGGGAGGACGAACAGGGAGGAGGGGCAGGCACGACCACGGCGCGGGACTGGGCCCCGCGAAGATGCACGTTTTTGTTTTTCTCGCGACGCCACATCGGGAGAAAAGCGCGGAGGGACTGCTAGTCCTTCACTCGCATGCCTTTGGCCCTGCGAAGAGCCGCGGACTTTCGATAATGCTCATCCTCTGTGTCAGTAAGACCGTGAGCCAACCATTCGACCAACTCCCTTTCGAGACGCTGGACATCTGGCTCAGTATCGCCAGGGGGCTTGAGGGCAACCCAGCAGCCGCACCTGCCGTGGCCGCGCACGGTGCACGTGGCCTTCAGAGAAGCGGCGCCCATCCTGGTCGGAACGCTACTACAACCCAGCAGGAGGTGTTCACGACTCGCGGCTGCAGTCTGCCCGACACCTCTGCCTGCCACTCGGCCAGAGGCGCCGCAGTCTGCAACCGCGCGTCGCGGGCACCCCCGTTGCGTCATTCTGTGTTCGCGGGGCGCATCTTCGAATCAACGCACGGGGGCTATTGGCGGGAGGGCATTGCTGATCGTTTTGTTGATTGGGACCACCCAACAATTACGATCGCCATTTCGGCGGCCGCTCCTCTGCAGGCGGCCGACGGGCGAACCGTCTTCCTTGGACAGGAACTTGTAGGCGGCCGCCGGATCCTCCTCGATGTGCGTCCAAGGCCAGGGTTCCCCCTCGCTCTGCTCCTCGTCGGCCACCCCCCCCTCGTCGCCTGGATCGCCGTCACAGTCAATGTCCTGCTCCCCGTCGGTGACACTGTGGACCGACTCGGGCTCATCATCCTCTGGAGCGGCCTCCAGCTCTGCGACAGTAACACCAATATCAGCGAGCTCCGCCTTTACATTCTCAGGCAATGCGGAGACCACTGCTTTCATGACACCGTCGGCTTCCATAAAATCACCCTCCGAAATGTCTGAGGCTGAAAGGCCCAACTCCTTCATCATGCCAGATATGTCGGCGCTCTCGGTGGGCGGGGGGCTCGCGCCAGAGGGGCCTGCTGATGGAATGCCCCCGGTGCCGGCGTCAACCACGGCGGCCCCGCCGCCCGCCTTCGACGCGCCCTTGTGCGCGGCAACGCCAGCGCCAGTGGACTCGCCCAACACGTCGCCGCACAAGTCAACGGCGCCCTTTTTGGGCGCTGCTCCACTCGTTGGCTTTGGTTTCGGCGCTTCCCGGCCGACGTCGATTTCGAACGGCTGCACAGTGCCGTGGAAGCCTTGAATGACAACGCGGTCCAGGCAGATGTCCCGGTACGCCAAGGGTTTCAGGGTTACCGACTTGAGCTCACACACTTGGTCCATCGACGTTGTGGCCAATTCCACGAAGCGGCGGGCGAGCATCTGCTCGGACATAGCCGCTGTGACGCCTGAAGAAGACATGCTACTGTCGTGCAGCTACCCCCCGACCGCTCATTTCTGGGGATCTCTGGGGTGCGCCGCCGACCAGGGAGCCACGCGGGCGCATGCTAAACAGAACCCTCCCGATCCTCTTCCTCCCCCTCCTCCTTTTCCTCCGCGTCCTGCTGTTCCTCCTCGTCTTTCTCCCCCCATCTGCCTCCATCTGTTGCACCCCGTCTTCCTCCTGAGCTCTCTTAGGCCACTGTTGGTGCCTCCCGGGGTCATACGGGGCAGTTTCCGGGCCAACGTTTGGTATCGCGCAGTTCGCGCCGCCCCCCGTGGCATTGACGACCGTTGCAGGAGCAATTGCAATTGTCCGCTTGGCCACTCGTGCTAAGCACTGTCGTTAATCCCACCAGCCCTTTAAGGCGTGAGGTTGTTTTTGAAAGCTCACTCTTCCAGATTCTCACGCACCGGGGGGGGCGAAGGCGGGGGGCCCAAGTGTTTCTGGCCGCTTCCCCTCAGGTTTCATAACTCGGTCCGTCGGTCCGTCGTCGCCGTCGGTCCGTCGTCGTCGTCGTCGTCGTCATCGCCTCCGTCGCGCCGCCGCCGCCGTCGTCGTCGTCGTCGCCACACCGGTTTCCGGGCCAACATTTAGTATCGCGCAGTTCGCGCGTAACTTGGCTTTCCGCGGCCCGTCGGGTCAATCCAGGACAGGATAGGCCTGTGGACACCACAGGACCAGTGGACCCCTTTTGCGCACAACCTGATGTCCGTGGACACCACAAGGCCTGTAAACAACACGCGGTTTCGGGACGTTGCGAAAAAAACATGAACAGCCAGCTTCTGAACACCGCTCGACCTGTGAACACCGCGGGGCCACTTGGACATTGCCAAACGCACGGACGCCAGGCGGGCGTAGAACACTGCATTGCCTGCGAACACCACGCGACGCCCGCGGGGGCCGCGGGATCATTGCTGACCGCCCACTCGCTGCCCACGCGGCGGCGGCGGCGCGAGCGGGAGGAGGGCGGACCAAGTCAGAGGAGAGAGGAGAGGAGTATTTTTGTTTTTTTGTATAGGGGAACTACACATAGTCGATTCTCCGCAACGACGACAGGGGCGGGAAGGAGGCCGCGGCCCCCTGGGGCGCCGGCAACGGCGCGTTTGCGCAACGGGCCGGCCAACAGATCTGCCACAACCATGGTTCGGCGACAACGGAATATGATGATCGATGATAGTCCCACCAGCCCTCTGGGCGTCGGTGGTCTAGAACAGATCCTCTTCCACCCCTCCCTCTTCCCCCTTGGGGAGGGGTTTACCCCTCCCCCTACCCCCTCCCCTGGACCTGGACGGGGGGGGCCGCTGGTAGTTAGAGCGTCCCAGATGGCCCAAGACGGCTCCAAGAGCGCCTCAGAGAACCCAAGATGAGCTCCAAGATGGCTCAAGATAGCGCAAGATCGCTCGAGATGGCTCCTAAGATGGTTCCAAGAAGCCCAAAGACGGCCCCAAGATAACTCCAAGTGGCCAAACAGCTCCCCAAGGAGGCCCCGAAGAGGCCAAAATCGTCCCAAAACCTAAGGAAAATCAATGATTTTTGCTTTCTCGCCTTTTCGCTTCCGATGGCCATCCGAGGCCTGGAGATGGTTCCAAGATGGCCCAAGAGGGCCCCAAGAGAGCCCCAAAAGAGCCCCAAGACGGCCCCAAGAGCGCCCAAGAGCACTCCAAGAGCGTTCCAAGAGGGGTCCAAGAGGCGATTTTAGGGGCTTCCGAGGGGGGGCGCTAATTCACCCCCCCCTCTTGTTTGATCGATCCCTCCAAGATGGCCCCAAGAAGCGCCCAGGAAGCCCCAAGAGGTCCCAAGATGGCCCCAAAATGGCCCCAAGAGGCCCCCAAGAGGCCCCCCGGAGGCCCCCAAGAGACCCCCAAGAGGCCCCAAGAGCCCCCCCAGATGCACCCAAGATGCTCCAAGAGGCCTCGGCGAGAATGCCTAATCATTGATTCTACACAGGTTTTAGCCACATGGAGGCCTCTTGGGGGGGGGCACGGATTAAGATGACTCCAAGAGCGTCTGGGAGAGCCCAAAATGACCTCCAAGATGGCTCAAGATATCCCAAGATGTCTCATAATGGCTTCCTCTGTGTGCTGCCCACTTCTCTGATCGAGGCAATTCCTCTGGGCATCGTTTCTGGATGGGCTGGTGGGGATTCGCGAAGCGACAACAATTTTTTCTGCGCTCGCTCGCGCTGCCGACGGCTGATCTCTGCACGGGACATAGCTTTCTTGCCAAGGGGCTTGCGTCCTGGCTTGAGTTTTTTCCGTGTGTTCAGTGGGAGGCCACGGGACCGCCTGTACTTCTCCGTGCTGCTGGCGGGTCGTTTCGCGAAGATCACCTGCCTTGTGGTCTCCGTCTTGAGCTGCAGCGGGCTGGGGCCCACAGGAAAAATCCGCACTGGCTGGACGGTTTTGGTGCCTTTTTCTGGAGCATACTTCAAAAGGTGGGGAAACTCACGTGCCAATTTTTGGATGTGCGTAGATTCCACTTCTCGGCGGCCACTGCCTGCGACGGTCGATTGCCCACCCGCGGTTCCGTACGGGCGCGAGGCGCACAGCATCTCATATCGCAATAGAATTCCGTCGGACTGCCAATACCTGCAAGAATACTCCAAGTCTAAACAAAAGCCTTTGCAACAGAGGGAGGGGTCCCGCCGGGTCCAGAAGCCCAGCACTGCGTTTTGCACTAACCCAAATTTTCTGCTGATGCCATTGGGGGACATGCTCATCAGGGATTGGGCAGGGCAGAGACCCCACATCCACGAGCCATGGCGGTGACAGAGATCGCCGGCGTGCTGCACCAGCGCCTTGAAAAGAGGGCTGGCCAGCTCGATCTTCTTACGGCCAGCGCGGCTCTCCACGCGCCGGTGGATGCGCCGCACGTTGTCGAGGACGCACACGATGTACGTGTTCTGGGGGTACGCGTTCACGATGTGGTTCCATTGGGCCGTCAATCCCAGGACGCCCACCCGAAGCTGCACTCTGTCCCACCCGCGGCTCTGCAGAGCATCCGCGTAGCGGTCTTTTTCAGGAAGCGTCTGGCGTGGGAGTGTAGCGTCTGCCACCCACACGTGGATCCTCTCTGGCGGGACGGCTTGCACATTAATCAAAAAATGGAGAGTTGTGTTGCACAGCACAGCTGGCCGGTCGACCGAGGGAATGATGACCCTGTAATCGTGGGCCCCGCGGCCCACATATGTCTCCAGGGACGCCATCGATCCGATAATCGCCAGCCGAACAGGGGGCAACAGCTTGAGAAAAATACGTTTACGGAAGGGTACTGGGCGGAGGAGGAGCGGGAGGAGGAGGAAGGAGCAGGAGGGGGCACCGCAGGCGCCTGGGCGAGGATCACCCGCATTATCGCGCCCCTCCTCTTGGTCCCCCTCCTCCCCTGCCCCCCGCCTCCTCCCTCCACCCTCTGCCTCCTCCTCCTCCTCCTCCTCTCCGCAAGGGCGCCTTGGCGTCCCCCCGCTGGTAGACCCCCCCGCGCAGGTTCGCGCCGGAATATGTTTGTTTTCGACCGGCCGATTGTTCAACCCCGCGGCCCGCTAATGCAAAAATGCCGAAATGCGGATGGCCGACAATCGGGCGCCCCGACCTTCCTTTGACGCCTCCACAGCGGTTGATGCCGAGGTAGGGGGGTGGTGGGTGCACGTCGACACGCGGGCAGGGGGGGGCGGCGCGGAGGAGGAGGAGGAGAAGGACGAGGAGGAGCACCCGCATTATCGCCACCCCCCGCCCCCTGCTCATCCCTGGATGCCCTGGTCTCGACCCCTGGGGGGGGGGCTCTGGGAAACCCTGGCAGCGTGAGTGTGTGCCTTTTGCGGTGCCCGCCACGTGGCGCAATCTATGCGGGCCAAGCAAGATATGATAACTTCGCAGCGCACGCCGCGCGGGAGAAGCTGTGATGCGCAAGCTATGCGGTGCAAGCGCCCGCCCAGCGCACGGAGCGCCCACGAGGCGGCGCGGGCGGCCGCGCGGCGAAACCTCGGCCGACACGCCCAGCGCAAGGGGCGCCCACAAGGCGGCACGGGCAACCACGTGACGAAATCTCGCCCCCTGGTTGCAAGAACTGCTATTGGGTACAACCTTCACACGGGGCGTTCGTTTTCAACCGACCTTAGCGCCTTGCGCCTGCTGGTCCATCGGCGAGCGGCACCTGGGGGTACCAACGTGAACGTCGCGGCCCAGACGACATAGCCGACCGACCGCGCAAACCCCCCCGGTGCCGACCAAGCGGCGGGTGGGGAAAGGGCGGGGGGGCCGAGCGAACAACGGAGCGGGCCACGGCGAGTCGCTTGCAGGAAGCTTTTCTGCCACCAACCCCGCCCGAGACCTCTGACGATTAAATCGTCCTTGGCACCGCTTTCCAGGATCGACGAATCGCTCCCGCGCGACCTTGAGCTCCAGGCCGATGACGTGGGTCTGGTCTCCGTCCCCCGCGGCCTCGAGCCTGACGAACGTCTGTTCTGGCGGGTGGTGGCAAAAACGCCCAGCGGCATGAGGAAAGAAAGCGTACTCCAGGATGCTGGCACCGCTCCCAAGATTCCCATGCAGCAGAAGTAGCAGATCCTGCTCTGGCAAATCCGCGGGCTTGAACTTCGCCGAAAAGGAAGCAAATCCAGCCAACAATCGAAGGTACGCCCGCGCCTTGCTCAAAGAATTTGTGTTGCTGCAAAGCGCACCACAGCACTTTGGGTAGGCGACGCGCTCTGGGAACTGGAACCGTGGAGGTGCCAAAACGTACCCGTTCGTCACCTCCCTGAACTCGGCCTCGCAGGCGCTCAGAGTATTACTCTTGAGCGCTCTCTTCAATGAGGGGACCGTCAAAGGATAGTCACCTGATGGGAAAGTGGGCGCCCGAGAAGCTATGGCCTGGGCGGCGCCAGTGAACAACGCGAACTTATCCGATTCCAGGTGCTCCACCTCTGGCTCCGCCGCGTTCAGATTGGCGGCCAGCGCCCAGTGCCTGCAGCGAGGAGTCCCGCACTGGCACGACTCCAGAAGACTGGAAAAATGCTCGCCGGCGCGGTCTTGCCTGAACGCGCCGCGGGAAGCGGCGAAGGTCGAGGGCGCGAAAACCTCGGCCTGGCGGCATTCTCTGTCTCGCTTCCTTTTCTCTCTTCTCTGTTCTGCGCCGCGGCCGCCTTCATCAACTCGGACCGCCTGCCATACTCCGCCACAGCCTCCGGGGTGAGCTCGGCGAACTCCCGGTCGATGCGGTCCTTGGTGTCCTGGGGGCGGGGCAGAGCAAAGCGACCGTACCCCGCCTGGGCAACGAGCCCGCGAGTTCCCTGCCCCAGCACCCCCCCACTCCCCCCCGCGGTGTGGGGGTGCTGGGGCAGGGAACGCGCAGGCTCGGTGCACAGGTGGGCCAAACCTTCCTCCCCGCCCTTCCCCAGTCCGAGTCCTGGAGAACGGGATTCACGCGCTCGTCGCGCGCGGTGCAACCTGCGTGGAAATCAAGGATGAATAAATCCTTGGGGTTGGGCGCCCGCACCCTGCCTGCCGCGCGGCCATCGCCGCCGCCGACGGCCCCGCCGTCGCCGACGGCCTGGCGAGCCGGAGGCATTTGGCGGCGGTGAAGAAGATCGCGGCGTCGCCGAACAGCACCGCGTAGGACGACTGCCTCAGAACAAACGCTCCGAGCCACCATCTGATGCATAGAGCTCAACCCGTTGTTGTTCCCAAATTGGCGGTTGCGGCCGTGGCGCCACTCGACGTCAGCGACTTGCAATGTGAGGACGCGGACCAACACCCTCAGCCTGGCCAGCCACTTCTCTGTCAGCAGCTCCCTGGAGGACGCCAGCGCAGAGGCCACCTTCCGCGCGAAGCCCGGGTGCAAGCAACACTCGGGCGTGCGGAAGAACTTCTCGGCCAACTGTTCCCGCTCCGCTGCGGAGAAGCGGTCGTCGCACAAACGAACGAGGCCCCAAGGGAACCGCCTCGACGGGCAATAATGCCGGCGAAATAATGCGCAATCCAAAGCGAGAAGCAATCTGCGGAAAAGGCGGATGTCCTCGGGGTGCTTGCCAAACCAATCTTGAAGGGACTCGCGCTGCCGAATCCTCCACAGCAGCACCAGGCGCGTGGCGCGGCCACTGAGCAAAGTTGAGATGTACTGCCTCGCGTGGACGACAGGGTTAAAGCGGTCGTTGAAGAAATCTAAGACAGCAGGGCGCCCGCAGGGATCCGGACACTCACGCGCCCGTCTCATGAGCCAAGCCGACACGTGCCGCACAGGTTCCAGCACTATGCCGAGCATCACTATGCATCCGACCGAGGCCTCGCTTTTCAGCATGTCCAGCGCCAAGCGAAATCGTTTGCCCTGCAGCGCCGAAAAATCGGCCTCAAACTTGAATTGGTCATCAGCTTCATGGTCATCCCTGCTGGGCGGAGCCTTGAACTTCAAGCTCTCAAAGCACACGGGGAGGACGCGATGAGCCAGGAGCCCAAACACCAGCACATCCACGCAAGGCCCAAGTTTGGTCCACTTGTTCACGGAGGGCACCAGTGGCATATGATGGAGCACTGTTTTCGTAATCGCCGGGGCGAGCTTCGCCACGTGCTCTGCGAGCGTCGTGCACTCGCACGCCCCACTGCAGAAGTGCTGGACGGCGTAAGGGGACCACCAGCACCCGTTCATCACAGCCCTGAGCTCTCTCAGGGATTTGACATACGCATCGAAACCCTTATGCTTGAATTCCCGGTCATCGTCAATGTCGGCGCCCCACTGGTCCGCGTCGGTGTCCTCGCCCGGGTCGCCGTCGAAACCGACGTTGGCTAACCAGTGGTGTTTCCGGGCAGTAGTAACTGCAAACCGCATGTAATTACACATCATGTATTGGCACACCTCCCTGCTGAACTCGGCGGCACCTGCCGGGGGCGCGCCCGCGCGCACCTGTACCCTGTCGTCGGCTAGCAGCGCGGGGAGACTTCTCTTCATGCGCAACCAAGCTGCCCCCCCGCGCAACAACAAGGCCAAACTATACAACCTGGATATCAAGTGGAACGGAGCATGGGATATAATTGTCGTCACGGATACTTCGCATAACTGGTTTTGGTGGAGGCTACAGTACCAGTGGTCATGATGCTCACCCGCAGCGACGTTTGCGAATTGAACTGCGCTCAACATCTGGTTCGGCATCGCAGCATCTGTCTCCCCAAGTGAAACAGTGAAGACCGCTTTCTGCATCAAGACGTTAATGCCCCGCCAAATCCTTGCAAGCATTGGGTGGGTGTACAACACTTTGAAGATCTGCGAAGCCGCCGTGCTGGCAACGATCAGCGGGGGCATCGCCACGCCAAACTCGTACACCTCCTGTCCCCAACAGATGACAATCCACATCCTGGCGGCCATCACTTGATACGTGGACGGTTCCCTCCCTTCTTTTGTCACAAGCGAAAGCTGTTGGCCAGTTTCGTCCCAACTCAAGCGGAAACCAAAAACATCAGGAGGGACAAGAGTTGCTCGAACGACAAGACATCCGATAATGACCAACTGCACCTGCAAATACACAGCTGCAAAAAAACATCGCACGCGGCGAATTGTCCGCCGGTCTACTTTGAACTGCGCTGCCAGATCGGATACTCTGCGAATGGGGCTAAACGCGCAGACTTGCCCAGCGGCGAGGCTCAGCTTCCTGCGCCACTTATTGCCCCCCTTGACCTCGCAGTTGTTCGACAGCGCCACATCGGCGTAGCGCTGCTTCAGGTCCGCGAGCTCGGTACTCTTCTGGGCCGCCTGCTTCCAAGCTTTACCTTCGCGCATGCGGGCTGCCACCAAGTGCCTCTCCTCCTGGGAGCCATGCCGCCCTCGACCACAACTGACGCTGGTCTTCAGGGATGTCTTTTGTATCTGGGCGGGGGGCGTCTGTCGTTCAACGACAGATGGCCCTAGGGCAACCTGCAACTCCTGAACACTGCCAGTCGCACCGCCGTCTTCATCGTCGGTGAACTCTTCAAGCTGCATGGCAGGGCAAGGGGCCTCCTCGACCTCGCTGTCACTGAACGCCTCCAGTTGCGAGGGCGGCATGCGAGCAACGCGTGCTGGGATACAAAAGGCAAAACCACAATTTATGCAATATGGGGCGCGCTGTCCTCGAGGCTTGAGCCAAACATGGTTACGGGTTGTTGCAAGAACATGATGTTTGGTTTACTTGGGTGGCCCGAAGGTTTGTTGCAATGTTTTGCCCTTTCCACATGTATTAGCAGCGCGCGTCTGATTGTTTATGTGCCGGGCGCGTACGAGTTCGAATTGCGCCGTATGCGGGCGTAAACAGCACAAGCCAGCATGGGCGTGCCGCGCGATACGGCCTAACCCCCCAGCGAAGGGGGAGGACACATCCTCGGGCATGCCCACGCCAACCTGTGCTATCTCGGCGGGGGAGGGGCCAAGAGGTCGCGGGCCAGACTGGGGTCCGCCACCAAGGCCGCCCTCGCTCTGCCTCCGCCTGCTTCCGCGGACATCGCGCCAGCTTCTTTTAGAATCCTCTCCCCTGCTGTTTATTGAACATATAAGACAATCGACAACCCCAAAGAGAGCACCCAAGAGGAAGACATGGGTGATAGCACAGCCCATTCCCGCACGAAGCTGGCCGATGCGAGCGGATATATGAAGCCACGGATGCTGGCATGCAAGACCCCCTCGAAAAGTGCTCGCACACGTTGGGGTCAGGGTCTAAAAATGTTCTCGCGCAGCTGGACAAAGTAGTCGAAAATGCAACTTCCAGCGGGCCCATGTTGATCACAAAACCTATCAAAAACGCTTGCTAAAGAGGGGGGTCGATTAGCGGACGCATGCCCCTCCCAACGAGGGCCCTTCTCGAGCTCAGGAAGTCGCGCAGGACGCGAGTTGGGACATCCTCAGGACGCGCCCGCCTCTTGTCCTGCTTAACACACGTTTTCGAAGCGCGCGGACGCCGCATGGGTGTGAAACCTGCTGGCTGCGGATTCTTCTTACGCGCCATACGAAGAGGGTGGTGTCGAACATGCGTCTGGCACGTCTGCAAGCGCCAAAGAAAAGGCATCGAATATGCGGCCGGCGGTTTCTACACACGTGCAAGTAAGTACGTACACTTCGCGCGTGTAGGCGCCAGGAGAGGGGTGTCGAACAGAAGACTGGCGGGTGCATCACACGTACAAGCACGTGCGCAAAACAATTGGTGTCGAACATGCGTCTGGCACGCGTGCATTTGGTTTGTGTTTCTATTCGTGCAGACACCACAAGAGGGTCGAGCAGGCGGTCTGCGTATTCTGCACACGTGCAGAGAAAGAGAACGTGGTGTCGAACATGCATACAGCACGCGTGCATTTGGTACGTACGTGCTTTCATGTGTGCCGGCGCCCAGAGAGGCGTAGAACATGCAACTGGCGGTTTCTTCGCACATGTGAACAATTACGTGTCCTTCATGTGTGTAGGTGGTTTTCAAACATGAGACCAGCAGATGCTTCGTGCACATGTCGTCGCACGTGTAGGCGCCGATGGGGGTGGTGGAGCATGCGGCCGTCGGGTTCCTCACGCGTGCAAGTTCGTGCGGGACAGACTGTGTCGAGTATGCGTCTGGTTCGTGCGAGGTTGACATGAATTTTCACGCGTGCGGGCGCCAAGGGGAGGCGTTCCACACATACACATACGTCTCTTCACACGTGCACATACGGCCTGCGGTCTCTTCGCACGTGCACATCCGTGCACTGAGAGGTGGCGTCGAACATGTCCAGCACGTGTGCATTTGGGGTGCGCTTTCAAAGGTCTAGGCGCCGTCTCGAGCATGCGGACGGCGGATTCAGCACACTACAGCAAAACTGCGGTGGGGTGGGGTGGGCGGGTGGGAGGGGATCGAATATGGGTCGGGCAAGAGTGCATTTGGCAAGTGATGTCGCTCGTGTAGGCGCGGTGCGGCAGCAACCACGTGTTTTCAAGTGTTCAAGCGCGGTGCGGCAGCCGCATGGCGGGGAGCCGGCGGTTGGAGCGACGCACCGCGTCGCTACTCCCGATGAAAACGGTTAGGATGAGGAGGAGGAGGGAGGCGGAGGAAGAGATGAGGAGCAGGACGGAAGAGGGTGAGTAATAGGGAATAGGAGAAGGGAGGAGGAACAAGAAGAGGGGAGAGGTGGGAAATCATGAGGATGAGTGAGGAAGAGATGGGGTAACAGGAGGATGAGGCGGGTGAGCAGCGGGATAAACACATAACATAATAACGTAGCATATAGCGCAACACAAGACAAAAAACACATGTCACAACGTAGCATCAACCAGTCTACCATACTGCGTCACAGCACCCGTATGGAAGACATGCCCAACAGAATGCGAGCGAGGGTCCGTACCTGGTTCGTGGGCCAACTATTTGTTGCCAACGGCTATCCTCATCCTCCTGCTCCTCCTGCACCTCTTCCCCCTTGACGCCCTCCTCCCCCTCCCCCTCCTCCTCCTCCAGCTCCTCCTCCTCCCTCCTCCTCCTCCCCCTCCCCATCCTCCCCCTCCCCCTCCCCCTCCCACTCTTCTCCCTCCTCTCTCCGCTCCCCCTTCCCCTACCCTGCGCGAGTTCCCGCGCGCGCTCGTGGGAGACGACGACGACGACGATGACGAAGACGTCGACAACGACGACGACGAGGACGAGGACGAGGACGACGACGACGCCGACGACGGCGACGACGACGGCGGCGACGACGACGACGGCGAGCCTTGTCTCGCGGCGGCCCCGAGCCCGCGGGAGCGTCCTCTCCGCCGGCGCCGTCCGCTGCCTCGCGCCGCGGCGACCGGGGCCGTCGCCCCTCGGCCTCCGTCGTCGCCGCCGTGCCGCTGCCGCTGCTGCCGCCGCTGCCGTCGAGGCCGTCGTCGTCGCCGCGGTGTCGTCGCCGCGTCGCTGCCTCGAGGCCGTCGCCATCGAGGCCGTCGTCGTCGCCGCTGCCAGGCCATCGAGGCCGTCGTCGTCGTCGCCGTCGCCGTCGTGTCACGCAACAATGCAGTCAACCCGTATCATAAGGGTGCGCGATGGGGATGCAAGGGCCTTGGAGGGCCAAGTTGACGTTTTGAGAACGAGGTTGGCCCGTGAAAGTCGCTGAGGATGAGGCGAAGGGGCAAGGGTGCAGGGATACCCTTGGGAAAGTTGCCCATCCTCTCTATGCGGGTTGACTGAACTGCCCCTGCCGTCCTCCAGCCTGGATGGGTAGGGTGGCCATCGGAAACCCTGTAACTATCTGCACTTCTGGGCATCGGTGGCTTGAATCTCGGAAAGGTCTCGTGTGGGATCCTCGTCTGTAAGTGAGACGCGAGGAAGTCTCGAGCGGGAATACCCTCCTTTCAAGGTCCGCATGTCATGTTTGTAACCCGAGGCGGCCATCGGAAAACCTGTAAATGCCGCTACGTTTGGGCTCCTTGGGCTTAACAAGTTAGGAAGTCTTGCACGGGAGCCTCATCTGCGAACGGATCGTTGAAGTTTCGAGCGGGGGCTCCCTCTCTTTGGGGCCCGCATTTCATGTTTGTAGCCAGAGGCAGCCATCGGAACACCTTTAACTGTTGTCACTCTTGGGCTCGTGAGGCCCGAATCTTGAGGACATATCGGGCGGGAGCCTCATCTGTGAGTGGATCGTGAGGGAGGCTTGGGCGGGAGCTCTTGCAAGAGGGGCGAGGGCGAAAGGAGATGGGCGAGACTCGGCGGGAGGACGAGGCGGCAGAGGAAGGGGCAGGACGATGGCCTCCGCCAGCGCGAAAACGAGAAGGACGTTCTGTTCGGGAGATGGGAAGATGGCCTCCGCCGTCACAATGACTACTTCCAGCCTGGTCTGGAATATTCCTCTGTGGGGTCGTGCCATCGGAGTCGTGTCTGAAAGGGGCCAGGGGGTGCTGGCACATTGAATGCCGCGCGCAGGCCCTCCCCCCCCTGGGTCTGGACAGAGGGGGGGGGGCAACCGCTTCGAGCGTCCAAGATGGCCCAAGATGGCTCCAGGAGGGCCTCAGAGAACCCACGATGACCTCCAAGATGGTTCAAGATACCTCAAGATGGCTTCCAATAGTTCCCAAGAGGCTCCAAGACGGGCCCGAATGGCCACGAAGCTTTCCCAGGACGGCTCCGAGAGGCCAACATCCTTACAAAACCGAAGGAGCCCAAGAGCGCCCAGGAGGGTCCCAAGAGGAGATTCAAGAGGCTCTAGAGGAGGGTGGGGGGGCTCTTCGACCGATGTCCTCCAAGATGGCCCCAATTCGCCGGCCCAACGGGCCAGGGCGTGCTCAGATCTCCGGTACCTGGTTAACAGTATTTCTAGTTCGCGCGCGCGGGGCGGCCCCTGGGGGTCCCCGGACGAAAAGTACCCCGGCAAGGTCCCGGCAAGTCCCCGGCAAGGTCCCGGCAAGGTCGGGTCAGAGATGCCGGAGTTCTGTTTCGGAGTCCAAGAGGGCTCCAGATTGGTCCAAGAGGGCCCCGAGAAGCTTTCTAGACGGTCCAAGAGAGGCCCGAGACGGCCAAAGATCGCCCGAAGACGCCCCAGATGGCCCCAAGACAGCCCAAGAGGCCTCCAAGACGCTCCAAGGGCCTTCCAAGAGGCCTCCGAAGAGGGCCCCAAGTTGCCAAAATCGTTGATTTTCATTGTTTTTTCTATGTTTTTTTGCGTTCTGGCCTTTTCGCTTCCGGACGCTCCAAGAGGGCCCAAGAGGCCTTCAAGACTGCTCCAAGACGGCCCACGAGGCTCCCAAGACGGCCCCGGAGCGGCCCAAGAGCGCCCCCCAGACGGCCCAAGTGCTGCCCAAGGCGGACCAAGAGGCCCCAAGACGGGCCCAAGAGGGGCTCAAGAAGGGAACCGAGAACTGAAAAATCGAGCCCTCCGCCCCAGAAGGCGCCCAGGACCCCGAAAGAGGCCCCAAGAGACTCTCCAAGACACCCCCAAGACGCCCCAATAAGCTCCCGTGAGGCCCCAAGAGGACCAACAACGTCAGGCCCCAGGCCCCAAGAGGACCAACAAATACCGCCAAGAGCCCGCCGAAAGCCCCCCAAGAGACCGTCACGAGAGCTCAGGAGGCCCCCTGGAGGCCTCCCGAGTTCTCCAAGAGGCCTAAAAAGAGGCGCCAAGAGGCCCCAAACGGCCCCAACGAGGCTCCAAGAGGCCACGAACGCGCAAGCAAACGCCTGCGATGGCACAATACGGGCCGGCGGAATGAGCGAAGCGATTAAATAATGTCTACACAGGCCCCAAGAGGCTCCCAATAGGCCCCTAACAGGTCCCCAGGAGGCCCCCGAGAGGCCCCCGAGACGCCTCTGGAGACCCCCAAGAGCCCCCAAGAGGCCCCAAGACGCCCGAGGAGGTCACCAAGAGCCCCCCACCCCCCTGGAGACATCCCAAGCGACTCCGACAGGCATCCATGAGGCCTGTAGTTCACTAAGGTTCCCCGACGTATCTAACTTATACCACGCTCCCCTGATAAGGGGAGCTCCCCTAGGCGTCGTTCCTGGATGGGATGGTGGTGATACTTTTTTGGTCGCAGCCGCAGGCGAGAGCGCAAGCGGCGAGTCGTAGGGCTTGTGGTGATACGAGAAGCGTTGAGAATTTTGGTCGACCAAAGCCATGCGGGCCACGTGCGCGCGCCCCCGTGAGCGCATGCCGGAATCCGTCAAGAACGAGCGTAAACTCGTTCAGGCCGTGGGCTGCACCTGCACCCCACCAGTCCTCCAAACTCGTATCATGCGGGCCACGCGCTCGCAGCCCCTGGCGCGTTTGTCGAAATCGTCCAACGATTGTTTGTTCCCAGCGATCCTGCGGTACTGGGTCCTCGTTTCGAACAGACAGCGCCCCGCGTCTATCCCTCTCCTCCTCCCCCCCGCGTCCTCTTCCACATCCTCCTCCTGCCACCCCTCGCCTCTGCCCTCCGCATGTCAACGATTTCGGCACACCCCTCACACGTTTCGTGGCCCCATGAGGGGGCTCCACCGAAGGCCCCAGCGGGAGGGGTCGCATGGCGACCTCTGGTCATTTAGGCACACCCCTCACACGCTTCGTGGCCCCATAAAGGAGGGCTCCACCGGAGGCCCTAGTGGAACAGCCCGCATGGCGGCGCCCCACCCATGTCGGCACACCCCGCACACGGCCCGTGGCCCCGTAGGGAGCTCCACCGAAGACGATCCTCACAATCGCGGTACTCACAACTGCATATGGTTGGGTTCTTCGCCAGGTCCAAACGGACAAACGGTCCAAGAGAGGACGTAAGAGGAATAATAACGGACACAAATACACATACACTCGCACACGACACAACACACAACACAACACAACACACAACACAACACAACACAACACACAATACAACACACAACACAACGCACACAACACACGTCACACATCACACAACACACAACACACACAACACAACACACACACACACAACGCACAACACACAACACACAACACGGAGGAGGGGTTCCAGAGGAGGGGCGCAGCGCGAAGACATTGGTCTAGTAGCCTATGGGGGGGGGGCCCTAAGAGGGACCACGAGGCTACCAAAAGCGGCCTAGAGGTTTCCAAGGCGGCCCAAGATAATTCCAAGAGGGCTCCAAAACGGTCGAAGAGCGCTCCAAGAAAGCGCAAGACCGCCCAAGCGCGCTCTACGATGGCTGAAGATGGCCTCACAACGGTCCAAGGGAGCCCCAAGACAGCCCAAGAGGCCCTCCAAAGGACCCCCGGCAAGGCCTCAGGAAACCCGATAAATTGATGGTCATTCGGCTTTTGAATGCTTTGTGATGAAATTCTCGCCTTTTCGGGCTTCCGACTGCCCATGAGGCGCCCACGAAGGCCCCAAAACGGCCCAAGAGAGCTCCATATGCGGCCGCGAACCGTGTGAGGGGTGTGCCGAAATGGGTGCGGCGCCGCCAGGCGGATAGTGCCACTATGGCTTTCACTGGGGCTCCTTTTGGGGCCACGAAACGCGTGGGGGGACTGCGCACCTAGTGCCTTCGGTGGAGCTCCCCGTGGGGCCACGAAGCGCGTGATGGATGCGCCGACATGGGTGCGGCGCCGCCATGCAGACTGCTCCACCAGGGCCTTCGGAGGAGCTCCCTCTGGAGGTCGAAGCGTGTGAAGGGTGTGCCGACATAGGTGCGGCGCCGCAATGCGGACTGTGCCACTGAGGCCTTCGGTGGAACTCTCTAGAGTGTCGAAATGGGTGCGGTGCTGCCGTGCGGACTGTGCCACTGAGGCCTTCGACCGTGTGAGGGGTGTGCCAACATAAGTGCGGCGCCGCACTGCGGACTGTGCCACAAGGCCTTTGGTGGAGCTCCCCTTCGGGCCGTGAAACGTGTGAAAGGTGTGCCGACATGGGTGCGGCGCCGCCACTCGGACTGTACAAATAGGGCCTTCGGTGAAACTCCCTGTGGGACCACGGAACGTGTGCGAGGTGTGCCGAAATTGGTGCGGCGCCGCCATGCGGACTGTGCCACTATGCCTTCGGTGGGGCCGAACGGTGTGAGAGGTATGCCGAAATGGGTGCGGCGCTGCCATGCGGGCAGTGCCACTAGGGCTTCGGTGGAGCTCCCTATGGAGCCACGAACAATGTGAGGGGTATGCCGACATGGGCGCATCGCCGCCATGCAGACTGTGCGACTAAGGGCTTCGGTGGAGCCCCCTATGGGGCCATGAAGCGGGTGATGGGGTGTGCCGACATGTTTTGCATTCGGAAGCCAGAGACAGGAATGGAAGAAGGGAGGGGAAAGAGAAGAGGAGATGAACGGAAACGCGGGGCGCTGTCATTTCAAAAACAG